ATGTCTTTTTAGTTATCAAAATGCAAATGCCATAATCGTTATTTCCACTGTATTCTGTAAGTAGAAACTCAACTACACACACATTCTTCTGTACTATGAGTCGGACATGTAAAACTGCAGCCCATTCCTGCACTCCTGGGATGACCTTCAAACTTGCCAGAGGAAGAGCTCAAAACCACTGCACTGGCTTTGAATCACGATCACGTTTTCCAGAGAAATATTTTTAGCTTCTTCCAAAAGATAATGACAACTTTCTTAGTAGAACCGTCTTCTCCACTTACAAGAATGCCACGTAACCACTGAAATTCCTAATCAGAAAATCAAAACCTTAAATCCATGTATCCATTTCTGAAGGAAATGTGGATTCATTAAAAAAATCCTTGTAATGACCTAGATTTCTATCTAAAAGGCAGTTCTGATAGGTCCTTGAATCAGCATGTCATTAGATTGTAACCCTGGCTTTCCCCCCATTGCCTTAAGTATGAAAACACTGCAGAATTCTGCAGTGAGCGAACCCGGTGTCACCGGGTCACCAGCAGAGGGCGGACTCCCAGCCCGGCCTGCGGTGGGCTGTGCGTGGCCCTAAGCTCATCGGTGAGGCCCCCGGCCCCCCGGTTCCTCCAAGACTTTGCCTTCATTGTGCTGCTACTTTTTAAATCAATCGAGAAACTAATAAAGACACGGACAACATTTTCGGACTCTAAAGGAAAATGTTAGAATCGCTGAGTGTATTTATGGCGTCCCAGGTGGCGCGAGCAGTAAAGAACCTGCCCACTAACGCAGGAGACATAAGAGATGCGGGTTTGAGCCCTGGGTGGGGAGGATCCCCTGGAGGAGGAAATGGCAGCCCACTCCAGTGTTTTTGCCTGGAGAACCCTGTGGACAGAGGAGCCTGGTGGGCTACAGTCCACAGGGTCACAAAGAGTCAGACACGATTAAAGCAACTTAGCATACACATGCACCCAGGCACAGCGTATTTTAACTTCAGAATGAATGCGTCTGCTAATGCTGATTGCAAGCCTGTAACTCGTGAGAACTGAACAGCTGAGAACTATCTGCTGGCAGGGGCTGGGGTTTCTGAGGGCCGTGGGGGTGTCTGGGGGGCCTCCTGGACCTGCAGGCTGATTCTGAAACCACTGCAGCTGGACTTCCGTCTTTGTAATTCGTCAGACAGTGGGTCTCCCACCTATTCAGAGGACTTTGCGTTTTCAAAGGATGTTCTCAGAGAAGCTTCTGGTGTAAAAATGGAGAAATGAATTTAATTTCCTTTTTTTCCCCCCAAAGCTTGCTCATCTTCATTCAGCCATATCCATTTTGCTTTTGGGCTTCCATGGAATGTAGGTTGAACTGGAAAATATTTGTGGTTAGTACAAATATGATTTTATTGGCATAATAAACAAGACGTCCATCAGGAATGCTTCGGAACCGTTAGTGTTTAAACTGCTGTTCACTAGGCTTTTACCTACTTGAATTTTATCTTCCTTCTCAGCCCCTCCTGACACATTATGCTCGAAACCCTGGATTCCTTTCCATCAGTGAAGTTTCTCCTTTCCTTGTAATGGGTGTTTGCTCATTTAGATTACAGGTGGTGCAGTGGCTAAGAATCCGCCTGCCAAGGCAGGAAGCAAAAGAGACATGGGTTTTATCCCTGGGTTGGTGAGATGCCCTGGAGAAGGGAATGGCCACCCCCTCCAGCACTCTTGCCTGGAGGATCCTGTGGACAGAGGAGCCTGGGGGCTGCAGTCCACGGGGTCACAAAGAGGCGGACACGCCGAGTCCCTGCGCACGCGAGCACACACGTTTGGATGAGACAGCGGATGGCGAGCCAGATCTGAGTATCACCTCAGAACACACCAGCTGAGAAGTCCTGCTCGGGCGTCTGTCTGCTGCGCGGCCACGCATGCAGAGTCGTTCGTCTTCTCACAGGCATGCCAGTGCCATCCCGGCACCACTCCGTGGACCAGAGCTGGGCTCCGGGGGATGCAGGCCTGGGTGCCGCTCTGGGTGGAGAAGGTGGGTCTGTAAGGAGATCTGAGTGTCTGTGCTCACATTGCATGGGCAGAAGGCCAGAATGCCTTGCATTGGGGCTTGGCTGGCGGGGGGTGCATGAAGCCAGGGAAAGGAGAAAGTCACAAAGTTCTCCATGCAACTTTCTCCTGCCGCTGCTTGAAGCTTCATGGCAATATGCGTAATCAGCATGAGGTTTATTGACTGGTGCAAAGCAGGAGGACAGGGAACTTCGCACTGGGGTGTGATTGATGGGGACAGGCCTGCAGGGCCCCCAGCCATAGCAGCCGGGCGGTTGGAGCTGAATCCCCTCTGGTTCTGAGGGGCTGGAAGGACGTGGTGAAGCTGTGGTTGGTGATGGACGGGACGAGATTGGCTGCAGGCTCCCGCGAGGCCGGATCCTCCTGCCCAAGCGGTCCTCCCTCAGGAGGCTGCTGTCTTTTCTGCATCTGTGCTGCTCGTAGGGCCCATCCCTTAGGGGATCCCCCGACCCCTCTGGGCCAGGAGACACCTTGCTTCTCTCATCAATCTGAGTCCCTGGGTTGGTGGTAGGATAGCTGACAGGGGTCAATGAACTAACTCCTCAAGAGCACCAGACGTGCTGTGGATTGAACTGTGCTCCCAAAACCTGTGCTGCAGTTCGGCCCCCAGGACCTGGGGCTGTGGAAGCAGGGTCTTTGCAGAGGTCAGACGAGGTCGCTGGGGTGGGCAGGCCTCGGGCACGCCCGGTGTCCTCATAGGAAGAGGAGGTCAGGACACAGACAGGAACGGAGGGATGACGCCGGGTGAAGAGCAGGCAGGGCTGCAGTGACGGGCCGCTGGAAGCGAAGGGCAGGAGGCGGAGGGAACGGACGCCTCGGGGTCAGACCCCTCACCTCCTGAGCTGCGAGGGGGCGAACCCCCGTCGTCCTGAACCACTCAGTTACGGTATTTCTTACGGCAGCCCCAGGAAACCAGTACAGGACGTGGACATCGGATAGACGTTTGGAGGGATGGGGGCGGAGCCGCCCTGCATCCTCCTCCACTCACCCACACAGCTTCCATGCTCCACACCGAGTCACTGTGTTCATCTGGAATAATTTTCAAATGCTGAAGTTACTGGCAGTTTGTTATATTTTGTTGTGTTGTTCAGTCGCCAAGTCATCCGACTCTGCCACCCCATGGACTGCCGCACACCAGGCTTCCCCGTCCTTCGCTATCTCCCAGAGTTTACTCAAACTCATGTCCATTGATTCCATGATGCCATCCAACCATTTCATCCTCTGTCATCCCCTTCTCCTGCCTTCAGTCTTTCCCAGCATCAGGGTCTTTTCAAATGAGTTAGCTCTTTGCATCAGGTAGCCAACGTATTGGAGTTTCAGCTTCGGCATCAGTCCTTCCAATGAGTATTCAGAGTTGATTTCCTACAGGATTAAGTCATCTTGTTCTACATGTGCATTAAAAAGTATGTGGACTTTTTCTCACTTGGTTGAATAAAACATGTGTGTCTAAGCACATTCCAGATGGCTGAAATTCTTCTAGTAACAGCACTATTTGTGAGTGTCACGTAATATCCAACCAAGGGTCTTTTAAAACAAATAACTAGAGATGTTTATTGAACTAGTAGAGTCTGGGATCTCTTCCTTCTCATGTGAAGTACATCTTTGATAGGATTGGCAATCTAGACCTCCCTCCGCCCTGACCCCGGCTGAGTCAAGGAGAGAGCAGCGTTCCTGACTGAAGCCTCTGGCCTCCAGCGCGCTCTGATTAGGTAATTAAGAAACTGTTTTCCCCTTAGCGTTAAGACTGGGGCTTCCCTGGTGGCTTAGACGGTCGAGAATGGTTCGATCCCTGGGTCAGGAAGATGCCCTGGTGAAGGGAAGGGCAGCCCACTCCAGTGCTCTTGCCTCGGAAATCCCACGGACAGAGGGGTCCGGCGGGCTACAGTCCATGGGGTCGCAAAGCATCGGACACGACTGAGCGACTAACCCACTCAGCGAAGACTAGAGTCTACACAAGTGTTTCTCATTGACTGTTACTTATTTTCAGTTACAAAAGGCAGACTTACCTTCTGAGCCCATGTATTTCAATGGAGGTTTCTAGAATGCTGTGTTTTGTGGGAGCTCAGAGAGGACTGAGCCAGGATGCTGTCTGGTTCTCGTTCTGAAGGCGATCGGCAGGAGATGCTAACTTCTCTGCCTCTTCTTTAAATCATGAAAACAGCAACCATGAAATTTCTCCTCTTTCTCATCTTAAGAAATCCCTGTTAAAATAAACACACCTCCAAACCCTCCAAACACACAAAACACCAGAAACCCTCAGGAGTGATGGGTAAGTCGGGTTCCTACCGGAGACAGAGGAGAACTGAGCTGTCCGTCAAGGTCAGAAGAGGCTGGACCCGGCGGGCTCTGGGCCTGGTGGCCGAGACCCGGTGTGCGTGGCGCTGGGGGAGGAGCGGTCCCCAGGGGAAGCGCTGAGCGCAGGCCCTCCCCTGGGAAGCGGGGCGTGACCGAGAGGCCCCTCCCACACCGCAGCCTCGGTCACTGGTCAGGGTCAGAGCCGCCGGCCCAGCCTCCACCGGGCAGCTCCTGGGCCTCGGACGCAGGCGCCTGTCTCTGGAGCGGCCTGAGCTGCGGCTCCCGTCAGAGAGCAGTGTCTCTGGGTGCCTGCCTCCCCCTACAGGTCCTGGCCTCTGTCTAGTTCTGACCAAGGAGCGGGGTGCGATGGCCTCGCACTTCTTTGCAGAAGAGGAATTCTGCTTAATGTGTCTCCTATGTTTATAACCTTTTAAGATGATTGTAAAATCATCTCATCGGATCTAACCAATTCCAGAGGTGATTTCAAAACATCCTACAGTAGTTTGTTTCACGTTTATCTCAGTTTGGCTGGTGACAAAAGCAGCCACAGCCGTCTGAACGCCCCAGAAAGCGGCTCATTTCCTGCTGAGCTTCTGGTCACCTAGCTTGCTTTCCTGTGACTGTTTTAACCACCCCCTCTTTTCCCTGCCTTTTCAGCACATCTTTCTGATGATCACCGGCTTTGTCACAGGAGAGACAGCATCACAGAAGCTGCGCTCATCAAGGATGGCCCGGGCAGAGATTCTCGAGGACGACACGCCTAAACATACGTGAAGTGTGTTTTTAAACACCTGGAGAGGTGAGGCCGGAGGAGACAACTTTGTGTTTCTAACTGGTCTCTGGGTCCTTCCCCACAGGACGCCCCACAGACTCAGAGCAGACTGCGCAGTGACCACAGGTGACTACGAATTCTCAGTGTGGTTTGCAATTACAGTTCTCAGGAGCAGACGGGCGCTGGGGGGCTCAGAGCCTTATGATCCCCTGAAAACAAGGGGTGACAGAGCTGCTACTCCCACCCACCCCGCACAACAGCAAGGCACTCAGCATCCTTCACACACTCCCTGGGGAAGGAGGACATGCACGTCCTATTTTGTTGGAGACTGAGACAGAGAAGGAGAAAGTGTGAAGACAACCCCAGGAGTTAGACTTAGCGTGGCTTTTGTAAACTGACAGGCAGCTTGTGCCGCTCAGGAACCCCTTCTGGCCAAGCCCCACCACCTGCTGTTCTGAAGAGCTGCCCTGCACACCCCCACTCGCCCCGGCTGGATGGGAATGAGGACGTGCTGACCGGTGACCCCACCTCGGTCCCTTCCAGGTGGAGCCAGGCTCGTCCTGGCTGGGCAGGTGGAGCCCCCCCTGCCCCTCCTCAGGGGCGGCCCTGACCACCCACCACCCCTCCCCACAGCCGTCTGCAGAGCCCCTCCCCACCCCTTCTATTTAGTTCAAGCCCCAGGCCCGGGTCCAGCTCTCGGAGCCTCTGAGCACACGCAGGGCAGGCTGACCCCATCTCTGGGGCTATGTTTGCGTGAGAAATGAGAAAACTCGCCCTCTCGGCACAGCCTGAAACTCTTCTCCAGTGATCCTGCCGTAGAGACCACTCCAAGCCCAGGCCTTCACCCCTCCCAGCGCCGAGGGGGGCATCCACCAGGAGCAAGCCTCGTGCCCTTCACAGGGTCACCCAGACCCCTGAGGCGGGGGTCTGCCTCCGTGAGCCAGGAGGGGCCGTCAGCTGGAGGTGAGACCAGGCGCCGGCCTCTCTGACTCTCATTTTCTAACAAGCTCAATGGCTCTACTTGAGGGGACAGTTGTATTGAGATGACAGACACTTGCAGGGGCGTTTAAAGGAGGAAGAGACGGAAACCTGGTCCCTGGCGGAGCATCATGTGGCTCCCCCACGCCTCACTTCAGAGCTGCTCCCTCGGGCCGGGCCCTCCCCTCCCAGGACCCCAGGTCAGCTGGACCCCACTGCCCAGTCACCATCCACAGTTGGCCTTGACTGACTATGCACAGAAGAAGAAATATTAAGGGAGTGGGGGAAAAGTGTGACCGAAATGGATGTGTTTGCTTTCTTCCACTTAAATCATATTGGGTTGAGGAGAAGCAATTATGGAAAACAGCAGGGAAGCGAGCTTTTCTTGTAACCATTCCCATGGTTCTCCGAATCCCCCCCAGAGGATCTGGCGGTCCCCACGGAGGCACAGAAGCTGCTAAAATCCCGGGTGGTCTGGGTCCAGCCTCGTGGCCCCCAGCGTTCTGAGAGTGACTGCATGTGTGGCTGTTACCAACACAATTTGGGGTTTATGTAGTGTGGTTTAATTCACAAAAGAAAATTCCTTTAATCAGGCAACAGGAATGCTGTCCTGCTCAGAGTGCACCGGGGGCCCACTCTGATGAGCCCGGTCATGTCTGGGGGCAGCGGGGGGGTGTTAGGACCCCTTTCCAGGCCTGCCGTACACCAGAGATGCTGCCGTGGCCACCATCCCTTCATGCCTTCGCTGCGGGCCAGTCCCCTGGGAACCCGCTTCCAGCAGGAACCTGCACCTGCGTGGGGCCCCCACCAGTGCCCCCACGGATCCCCAACAAGCAGAGCTGGTCTCCTTCACGTGGGATCAAAGGTGGTGCCTCAGTTCCCCCCACAAGGTGATGGGAGGCAAGGGGGGTCTGCCTGGGGTCAGCGAGGTGTGGGGTGCTAGACCTGCCCCTCCAGCAGTGCCCGTGGGCGCAGGCCCCTGGCTACAGGGCAGCGGTCAGTGTCAGCTGCCCCTGCGGAACTGTATCAGGTTGCTGGTGCCTGTCGGAAACACGCTCGATGGATGAAGACGCCCCTGGCACCTGCGCTGTGACGGCGACTTACCAGCATCCTGATGGCCTCTGAAAGGGGACGCCTGCTTTGTGCTTGTCACAGGTATGCTGTCAGACAGGTGCTGCCCCCACAGGGGTTCTCAGAGGGGTGACCTGTGCCCTCTGGAGGGAAGGCTGCCCAGACGCTCCTGCAAAGTCAAAGCGGGGGCTGGACACGCACGGTTCCAGGCAATTCTCTGTCGTTTCCACAAAGAAAACGATTTCTCCAAAACCTTTGATCGGTAGGATAAAGGCAATGACCTACTTTTCTGGTAGGTAAAGAATAATGATGATAATACAATAAATAGCAGAAAGGAAGAACAGTGGCTTCAGGACTGGAGTTCACAGAGTATCTGAAAGCAGTGGTGGACAGCGGTGGGAAGCAGGTGGGGGGATCCTTCAGGAAAGGTCTGCTCTCCCCAGTCCCATCCATCCGAGGGCTCGAAGGCGTGAGGACAGCTGACTGCCGCCCACTGGTCCAGGAAGAGTTCCCTGGTTGTCAAGGCTATGTCCATGTTAATTAATCTCTCAAAGATGGGTTTAGGAAGAGATTAGAAGTCTGCACTATTTTGTTTAAGAAGCTGAAGTTTTAATAGACAAAAGCCCAACATTTTAGACTCGCTCTTGTTTGGATCTACCTTAGGGACTAGGCTTAGCGCACGCAGGAGGCAGGGCAGGGTGTGTGGAGACGCACTCTGGCCAGGCTCTGGGACCCCAGCCCCAGACACGCACCTGCCCTCCAGGGGCTGCTTCTGCGGAGCTCTCAATGGATGCACGCGTTGGAACACTTCGGGCCCAGACGAGTGTCCAGCGGGGAGGACGTGCTCCTTTGGTTCCCTCCCCGCCTCCCCAGGCTCTGTCCATCTCTGCGGAGCGTCCACTCCTGAGAGCTTGACCCTGTGGGGCGTCTCGGCTGTCAACGCTGTTTGTCTGCCCAAGAAGGGGGCCTGGGGATTAGGAGGTATTTCAGCTTCCCCGTCAGTCGTGGACACTTGGAAGCAATTACACGACCAGCACGGTCAGGGAAGGGGGTTGTGAAAAGTGTGCTGGTGGCAGGCAAGGCTGGCGTGGGCCCCTGGGGGAGGCGGCGCCACCTCAAGTTGCAGAAGGACCCCGATGGGCAGCAGTGGGTGACGCCTGTGGGCCCTAACCTGCGACTGACCAGCTTTCTGACCGACTCTGAAAGGGGACACAGCCCGGGGGTCCCCGCTGCATCCTGTGTGTGCCGAGGCAGGTTCCTCCCCTGAACCTCAGCGTGTGCACTCCTGCAGGACACGCCCCAGGGACACTCCTGCACCCTTTTCCCCCGTGTGACCCCAGAGGGCTGGCCTCAAGCCTCACCTGCATCAAAGGGGCCTGAGGACTGTGCTCAAAACATGATCCAAGGTGTTTCCCCCGAAGCTTCTGGGTGACGTCTGCACCCGGAGAAGGATAGGCCTCCCAGCACACCCGCCGCCCCAGAGCCCCGCAGGAAAGGGTGCCGCGCCGGCAGCCAGAGGAAAACCCTGGGTCCACAGTATTGTACAAGAGCCGGGAGAAGACGCCCGCTCCCCCCAGGGACTGGGACCCCGGAAGTGGCGGGGCTTGCAGCCCAAGTGTCTGGGGTGGGAACCGGGGACCATGAACCAGGCCGTGCGTTCTCCCTGGAGGTCGGAGGCCAGGGGCCCAGCCTGTTGCTTCCTCCCTCACCTCCTGCAGTTCTGGGCAGTATCAGCGGCTCCGGGCCCCCGTGGATGACTGACCCTGTCTCTGCTCCATCTCCACGTGGCGTCTCCCTGTCCCGGCCTCCAAACCTCTGTTTACAAGGACGGGGGGCTCAGTGGGTTGTGTCCCTAGCTGCTCAGCCTTACCCAGCTCTCTTCTGCCCCATGGACAGTAGTCCACCAGGTTCCTCTGTCCACGGGATTCTCCAGGAAGAATACTGGAGTGGCCTGGCATCTCCTTCTCTAAGGGTCTTCCCAAGCCAGAGGTTGGACCTGCATCTTCTGCGTTGGCAGGCAGCTTCTTTGCCACGGAGCCACCTGGGAAGCCCCGTTTTGGGCTATGGCCGCCCTGACAGCCTCACCCTAACTTGACTCCCTCTGCAAAGGCCCCATTTCCAAACAAGGCCATGTTTCTGGGCTTTGAGGTTCCCACCGCCACACGCCTTTCTGGGAGACGTAGCTGGATCCCAGCACGTGGGCAATGGCCTCACCCTCCAGCCACGGTCTCAGCCAGCCTCCTGAGTCCTGCACACGCCTCTCCCAGACCGGTCTGAACTTTCGTTAAAAACAAGGAAAAATGTCACAGAAGGAAGCACGTTTGTTCTGCAACATTTTACCTCAAATCTCATAAAGGACAAAATGACGCACTCATAAAGGACAAAATGACGCAAAGGAGCTGAAATGCTCAGGTTAGCAGCAGTTTGTGTGAGATATTGAGTTCAAACTTTCGTGCAAGAACATCTGACTTGTGGCCTTTGACCCCATAACACTTTGAGGATTCGAGAAAATGACCATCAGTTTTGGGGAGTTGTACACAGAGTTGGCCACAGCACTCCCTGTATTAAAAAGAATAGAAACTTACGAGTTCGCCAGCGGAACGGGCCGCTCTGTCACGGGGTAACCACAGATGGGGCAGTACCGCTCATAACGCAGCACTGAGAGAAAAACACAGTCTCAACGTGTGTCTGCGGTCATCTCCAGCGTATAAACACACGCACGTAACCCTGAGACGCTGACCCTCGTGCTCCCTGGGTGGCGCAAACATGAGCCATTTAGATTTCTCCCATACACCCTCCTGTATTTTCTTAATTCTCTACAGTAAATAGAAATTATATTCATACAGAGCAGAAAGGCAGGCAGCATTATTCCAAAATAAATGCCGGTTATTTTCTGGCATCCACAAAAGACGGGGGACCGACCAGAACACGTCGCCTTTGACGGCTCTTCAGAGCACGCGCACCCTGGGGCCGCCTGGGGACAGAAGGGCCCCAGTTCCACGCGGCGGAAGCCACGTTGGGAAAAATCAGCAGAAAAGGGACTCTGGAGCCAACTTAAAGCACTTTTTCGTTGCGTTTAAGTGTCGCCTGAGGGCCCTGAGCTTTGGGGCTGGGTGACAGTGGCGTCTCCTGCGGCGGGGGCGACAGAGCCGGTCCCGGAGCCCTCCCTGCCTTTCAGGACCCTCATCTCAGAGCCAGCCTGCAGGCGCCACGGTGTGTGAGTCTCCCTGCGCGCACGGAAGGCAGAGCGCACGGGGGCACGTGGGAGCAGCCAGGGCTCCTGGAGGCGTGTGCTCAGCCGTGGGACCGGCGTCCACACCCTCTGTCCAGCCGGCTCTCCCCTCCCTCAGTGCTGCCCCAGCTCCGGGACGATACTCCAGCTTCAGTGAGCAGCTGGAACGTCCCCATGAGCTCCGGAGCCCGAGTGTGTCCCGGAGCGTCTGGGGCACCTCAGTCCACAGGGGCCCGCTGATCTCTCCAGCGCCGGTGTCCACAGAGCTTTGTCATTTTCTCACTGAAGGGCTTCCGTCCTCTCAACGCAGAATGCAGAGACTGGGCCTGGGGGGCCGGAGGGAGGGCAGGAAGGCCGGCTTTCGTCAGGGGGTCAGTGTCTGCATGACGGTGAGACCCTCCCTGCCCCCGCTCCCATCACTCCATAAAAAGGAAACACTCAAACTCTGATCCCCAGCAAGCTGGCTACTCGCCACTATAAAAAAGGATTATAGATACAAGTAGACAACTGAACTATCTTGACAATATGGGCAAATAAATCTTGGTTGTTTTGAATTCCAGGCTGGTTCTTCAACTTCCTAGGGAAAGGTGGTTTTCTGAGATTCAAGGGCTGAGAGCGCTGCACCTAGGGGCCAAGAGAATGTTGTCTCTGGTCCTTTTCTACCAAAATGTATTTTTCATTCACATTTTTTTTTACTTGTCCCATTATAATTTAGAAGCATTCTCAAACACCCCTAAATCAACACAGTTAAAAAAAATCAAAACTTCAAAGTGAAAACCAGGGTTCTCAGTTTCAAAAATAGAATTTTATGTGCCTTCTTCATGTTTCACATTTGATTTAAGAAAACGATGTCACACAACGGAGTTACAAGGCCTGGAGCCTCAGCTGCCCGGGTTCTGCTCTTGGGCACAGCTCTCTGTGAGTCTGCGGCGGCTGGCATGGGGCACACGGTCCCGGTGCTCCTCCGGGGGGCCCACCATGCACGGTGTGGGGAAAGAGAGTAAACTTGTTTGACGCTTCCTCCTCATCATCTCCGTCGTCAATGCCATCAGCAAGTGCCAACCACTACCACCTGCGCCTCACACTTTCTGCGTAGACGCAGAAGCTTAGAAAGGTGAATGAGGGTGGCAAGGTTCTGCAGCCACTGAGACCTGGCCTTTCTCTCCATAACCTAGAACTGAGCCGCGCCACAGTGGACATCCTGCAGAACGTCACCCACTCGCGGCCGGGAAGCCTCCTCCTGCCCAGCGGTGTGCTGTGAGCACAAGGACCAAGCCAAGGAAGCCCCCCGCTGCTCGCGGAGGTGATTCTGTGCAGTCAGGCACTCTCTGGGCACGGTCCTAGCACCGCTTGGACTGTAAGTAATGGTTGAAAACTCTGCCTCCAAATCCTGAAGCCTCCCTGGGGCCACTGCAGGCCTGGGCTGCTCGGGGTGGGGGGCAGAGAGCACTTGGGGGCATGCAGCCCCACCCCCTCTTCAAGCACTACCTCCCCTGGGCTTTCTCCCTGGATTTAGCTTGGAGAGAGGGTATCGTGGCTAAGACGTTTGAGAAACACTGGGACCGATGGTTTTCAGAGTTGTTTTTATTTGGGGATTTGATCATCGTGTAGTTGGTTTCTCAGATGTCCAGCAGCACGGGTTTAACATTCTGCCAACCACAGACATCCACGCTGTTCTTTAGTCCGCCACGTGGCCGTGAAGTGTCTGCGGCGGACGTTAACATTCTGCCAACCACAGACATCCACGCTGTTCTTTAGTCCGCCACGTGGCCGTGAAGTGTCTGCGGTGGACTTTAACATTCTGCCAACCACAGACATCCACGCTGTTCTTTAGTCCGCCACGTGGCCGTGAAGTGTCTGCGGTGGACTTTAACATTCTGCCAACCACAGACATCCACGCTGTTCTTTAGTCCGCCACGTGGCTGTGAAGTGTCTGCGGTGGACTTTAACATTCTGCCAACCACAGACATCCACGCTGTTCTTTAGTCCGCCACGTGGCCGTGAAGTGTCTGCGGCGGACTTTAACATTCTGCCAACCACAGACATCCACGCTGTTCTTTAGTCCGCCACGTGGCTGTGAAGTGTCTGCGGTGGACTTTAACATTCTGCCAACCACAGACATCCACGCTGTTCTTTAGTCCGCCACGTGGCCGTGAAGTGTCTGCGGCGGACTTTAACATTCTGCCAACCACAGACATCCACGCTGTTCTTTAGTCCGCCACGTGGCCGTGAAGTGTCTGCGGCAGACGTTAACATTCTGCCAACCACAGACATCCACGCTGTTCTTTAGTCCGCCACGTGGCCGTGAAGTGTCTGCGGCGGACGTTAACATTCTGCCAACCACAGACATCCACGCTGTTCTTTAGTCCGCCACGTGGCCGTGAAGTGTCTGCGGCGGACGTCACTCTGATCTCGGCGACATGGCAGGAGGCGTGGGGGGGGGGCGGAAGGGTCACACTTGGCAGCCGACCTCGCAGGGACCGGGGCGGACGGTGGTGACTGAGGTCTTGGTTGCCTGGAGGAGCCTAGAGAGAAGAAGAAAATGTTTCCCTCTAGAAAACTGTGCAGATGGAAAATGCAAAGCTTCGGATGGTCTTTGAAACGAAAAGGTCGAGTTCGTGAGGCAATGAGCAGAGCAGGGAGAGACTAGAAGCGTGCGGGAAACCACGACTCTGGCCAAAGGCTCTTCTGCTCGCCAGGGACGACGGGCCTCGGTGGGACTGTCTTCCTCTGGCCTCCGCAGGCTGGTTGGTGCCCGGAGACTCTCCTCTCCCTGCTTCCAAGGCAGGTCCCTGCGGACCCCTTGGCCCCAGTCTCTCTCCCCAGCGCTCTCCTCCTCCTGGCGGCGTGGTACCGCTCCCACCCGCACGGGCAGCTCCTCCCCGAGGGACGTGACGCCGCCTCGGGACACGCGGTCTGTGTTCCGCCCTGAAATACCCAGGGGTGGCCACGAGCTGGGCTGAGTGTAAGAGGAGGAGGAGGCCTGTCCCCTCCAGCAGACGCGTCACAAGAACGCCTTCAGGCCGTCAAGGGCCCTGAAGGTCCCAGGGCGTCTGCCCCAGCCCGCTCGAGGACTCTCTCCCAAGGCCGCACCTGCGTCTGCTTGCCTCACATCCCGCAGGAGACTGGCGCCTGGCACTCGAGTCGCTGCCTGAAAGGCACACGCAAGCAGTGCAAGTCCAGGCATCCGCTGGGCAAATCGGAGCCACGGCCTGGCCACCTTGCCTCTGGGACGCACTGTCCCCAGGTGTGAGCTCCCCCAGCCCCAGGCTTCCTGGAGTGCAGTTGCCCACACGGGGAAGAACTGCTAGACAACAATACACGTTACCTGCTCTGTCCCTGTGGTCCAAGTCCCTCCCGATACCCAGGAACATCACACAGCTCCACAGAGCCGCGTCTGTTTGCAGACACTGGAAGGGCGTTTAGAACATAGAGCTTTACCTGTTCTGAAATTTCAGAACATATTTATCCCCAAACCTGGTGTCTTCAAAGTCTCATTTCCATGAGAACTTGAAAGTGTGGACCTTTCCCCCTCTTGCACCCCTTCTCCCCCGGGTCTCCCCGCATGTCCTGGGGGGCCTCGGGGACCAAGCAGATGGGATGGCTGTGGACCTCTGACATGTGTCCTGGGGAACGTTTTCCTCCCTCAGAAAACCGCAGCATCTGAGTGCTGAAGCCTGGACCTTCTCCAAGCGTCACTTTCTCAAGACATGGGGAGGGCGGGCGGCTGTGCCCGGCTCCCTCCTGGGCCAGGCCCACCCGTGGAGCCCTGCAGGCAGAGCCACCCTGGCCAACCCGCCCTCTGCCCGAGCCCTTCTCGTGCCCGTCCCACTGAGACCACGAGTCCCCTGCACCCCAGCAGGGCTCCTCCTGCGGTCTTGGGACTCTGTCTGCCTCCCACACCCTGTCAGTCACCCTGGGCTCTGGTGGAGCCAGGCTCGCCCTGCCCCAGGGCCTTTGCACAGGTCGTCTTGGGGCCTGAGCAGGTCTCCACCAGGAGCTGCAGGGAATGTGGCATTACCACCCAAGCAGGCGTGGGGGGTGCGGGGAGTGGGGCGCAGCCCTGGTGCTTCTGAAACTAGCACCCTGCCCCCACGTTCCTGCCTTCGCTGGTGGTTCTCAATGGCACCAACGCACCTTGTCTGGGATGTTGTTTGTCCTTTATTTCTAGCATGTAAGCTCCTGAGGGGAGGAGAGCCTCATCCCCCCACCCCCACTGCCCAGGGCTGGAGTGGAGCGTGCAGGCCAGGAATCCGCTAACTCAGCAGAACTCTCACCGCCCCCCACCCACCCCTCACCAACCCCACCCCACTGTGGCTTCCGGCGCACCAGAAACTTATCTTCCTGTGGCATAGAGACTCACAGAGGAGACACAGCCAGACAGGTCCTAGAATAATTGGGGCACTTGATATCTTTATCATCAATAACGAGTAAACACTTTTCATTATACAAGGAAAATGTTTAGAACTGCAGGAGTCTGCTTTGCAGATGCAGGCAACACCGGCCACACAGCTCCGAGCGGCAGGAGCCAGGACCCCGGTGTCCGAGCCTTGCTGTCTTTGAGGAAAGGGCTGACTTGTTTCTTTAACGTCAGATGATCCCATGGATCTTGGTCAAAGCTGTGATTCAACAGCTGACCTTCAGGGTGTCTGGACTACTCAGAAGGACACTATTTTTTTGTGCTAGTCCTCTTTTCCAAGTTTATTTTTACTTCAGAATTTTAAATTATTAAAAGCGATCCAATCGCTGGGTTTCATGTCTCATCTCACGGGGTTTGCTGATTCGAGACTAACTTTTCCTGCCTCCCCAGCCGTTCAGCTTAGAGTGTTTGGCGCCTCTGGAGAGACAAGAATTTTTCCTAGACAAGGTTTTTATGGTTTCATTTTGTAACATTTAACTACATGCTTGATGAAGAAACCACAAAACCTCATGAACCTACACGCAATAATGTCAGATGAAATCGCTGATTTTGTTCTGGGCTTCAATATTGCCAGATGACTTCAGTCAAAACCATGCAAATTAAGACAAAAGCTAACCCAGGGACCAAATGGAGGGTTTGGAGACCCCACCGACTGGCGTGGGGTTCCTCCCGCCGCCGCCAGGGACTCAGGCTGACACGGCCGCGCTGGCACCCCCTTCCCAGAGACGAGCCGGTCTCTGGCCGCCGTGTGGCCCAGCGGAGTCGCAGGCTGTGCTGTGAGGTTAACGGAGATCTTGGTTTCGTAAATACTCTGAGAAGATGAAAAACCCAGCAGGCGGCCTTCCCAGGCCCAGCCAGAGTCTCCCACCCAACACCCCTGCAAGGCTGGCCCAGATTTGCTGGGGATGAGGCCACAGCAGAGGAACCGCCCCACACTATTCTCAGATATGTGGTGGACGCCTTCCAAATGCCACAGCCTCGGTGGAAAGGTCACCTTTGAGGATGAAAACTTCGCTTACCATCCCTGTGAGGAAATGGAACTTGGAGGGCATTCTGGTGTCCAAACAAGTCAGCAGACAGGTTTCTGAGCAAAGGCTCCAGCCCCAGACGCAGAGGCGGTTATTAGACCAGCGACCCTGGAAGGACTCGGGGCCCGGGGCGAGAAGGGGGGTGCAGACGCGCATCACCTGTGACCCGGGCATGGACGGCCCACCTGAGATGCTCCCGTCGCTGCAGGAGGTGGGCCCTGTGGGGAGGAGCCCTCCCACCCCCAGGCTGGGGGCTCTGGCTAGATCCCCCATCTCACCCCTCCCTTGGCTCCCCCACCTCCATACCCCTGAGCCCCTGGGAGAGTTCCTGGAACCTCACTTCCCAATGAGGCTCAGACTCGAGCTCCTCCCGTGAAAGTCACTATCAGCTTCGCTCTCTTACCCTGAGCTCAACAACCAGCTCCTTGGTGCCTGACCCTCCCAGAGCCCTTCCCGCCGGCTGCCCGGTCTTCCCACCTGTGCTCCTGGGGACCCTCCTCATTACCAAGGACAGAGGGAGGGGGCAGGAGGGCAAGTGAGGACAACTGATCTGAGACTGGCTGGACACATGGGCCGTGGGCTGTCCGCCTTTGACACGAGATGGTCAGCTGTCTGTCTCTGCTTTAGAGGGCTTGAAAGGGAAAGGGAAAGTGGCTCAGTCGTGTCTGACACCTTGTGACCCCTTGGACTATACAGTCCATGGAACTCTCCAGGCCAGAATACTGGAGTGGGTAGCCCTTCCCTTCTCCAGCAGATCTTCCCAACCCAGGGATCGAACCCAGGTCTCCTGCACTGGAGGCGGATTCTTTCCCATCTGAGCTACCAGAGAGGCCCAAGAATCCTGGAGCGGGTAGCCTATCCCTTCTCCAGTGAATCTCCCCAACCCAGGAATTGAACCAGGGTCTCCTGCATTGCAGGCAGATCCTTTACCAGCTGAACCATAGACCCCCAAAACCCACAGCCTGTGCTGGGACCCGGGATTTCAAAGCATAGACAATCAGGAGGCAACTGTCAGACCAAAGGCAGATTTAACTCCGGCTGAGCCCAGCTGGAGCGAAAGGCAGGTGGGGGCGAGTTCACTCTGGGGGGACAGGGGAGCCAGAACTGGGGAGACCCCAGAAGGGCCCCCAGGAAGAAAGCCCTCCTGCAGCTTGGACCAGATGACGGTGGGAGAAGCTGGCAGGGCAGAGGGTGAGGGTGGGATGGTTCATCCTCGCAGTGAGTCAACCTGCCCATTGACAGGTGGCGGGGGCCTGAGAGCCAATGAGAATGCAGGGTCACTGAGGCACCTCCTGGGGACCCTTCTCCTGAGGTCATCAGGGTCTGCTTCCAAGCCACCCTTCGGGTCTTCTCAGCCCCACCCCGGAGCACCCGGGCTGCGTATAGCTGTCCTGACAGGTCCTCTTGAGTGATGGCTGCTGTGTGCAGACCCAGGGAGGCCCTTCCACTGTCCTGTCAGAGGCACCGGGATCTGGGTTCACTGATGGGAAAGATCCTGGGTGTCAGAAACACACACGCACACATACCCATGAAATTACAAACACACACGAGCACACGCACGAGCACATATGCATGCATACACGACACACACATGCACACACCACACAGAGATGCATACACATATGAAACTACACACACACATACACGAGCACACACACAGGCACATATGTATACACCACACACACACACACACACAATGAGATCACATATGCACATACACAAGTACACACTACACATGCCACCACCCATACACGCACGCACACAAACATGCAAATGCACACATGCCCACACATGTAAGTGCACACACTCACATATGCGCACACACGTACACACAGAGGCATGCACACGAACACGTGTGCGCACCCCACATGCATGTACACATGTGTGCACACACCCACATACATGCACACGTGCGCACATGCCCACATACATGCACACGCGTGCACACACCCACACGGACACATACATGCACATGCGTGCACACACCCACATGGACACATACATGCACACGCGTGCACACACACGCTGCTCAGCAGAGCGGCCCCTGAATGCTGCCCACGCTTGCGTTGCCCCTGTGCTGGGCAGGTCCTTCTCAAACCTCTGCACTCCTTGGTTTTCCAGGAGAACACTTGGTCCCAAGATCACTGGCTGCTCTCTCGTCAGCCCTCCGCTCCCACCTCCTGTCCCAGTCAGTTCCCTGAGAGGACGCCACACACAGGGGGCTTGCCAATAGCGGACATGGATTTCTCACGGTCCTGTGGGCTGGACATCTGAGATCACTGTGTGGGGAGATGGAGGCGGGGACCCCTCCTGGTTCATAGACCCGAGCCCCCAGGTGGTGGAAGGGGCCGGGGAGCTGTGCACGGTCCCCTTGAAAGGGCCCCGACATCACCCATGGGGCTTCCCCCTCCCAGCCTTGCCACCTCGCTCACTGACCATCAGCCAGGGGTAGGGCTTCAGCACAGAGCCTCCCTCCCTCTGCTGCTTGCGTGTTTCCCGCAGCCCTTGGCCAGGACTCCCTCCTTTCGACGGCTCACTCCTCACTGCTCCGGCCTTACCCTCAGGCTTCACAGCATCGCAACACACCATCTGTGCTCTATGGAACTGCTGTTAACTTTCTGATTTTGAACTGATTGTGCTTTTTTTTTGGAAACAGCAGTGATATGAACTTATGACAAAACAGTAAGCTAAAATAATGCACAAAAAAAGCACGAAATAGTGATGTCAAACACATGTCCACTGTCCTAATAAACGTTAAAAAAGAAACTGCAAAGAACAAGATACGCAGTAATTTCATCTCATAATTGCAAAAGTGCTACCAAGGTTCTGGTCCAAAAATAATGCAACAGTCGGCCTTGCTGACCCTGTTTATCATAAATACCTATTTGTAGAGTTCTTCTGACAGCCCACCATTGACCAGCATGACTTCTTTCCTATAGCAAAAATATTAAATCATAAATATAATTCCAGAGAGGCATGTAATAGATAAACAAACAAGCCATAGTAAATGAAATTAGAGTATGATTTAAGTAGCTGGTATTATGATGAATTTAAATGATGGGTATAGTTTAGGAAGGGTTCCTACTAAATATATACCTAGAAATATGCTAATACTCTAGACATTGAACATTAAAAATTTTAAAAAGCATTTAACGTGTACTCTAATTTTTTCAATTACTTTATTATTTTTTATATTGAAGTATAGCTGATGTGCAATGTTATGTAAGTTACAGGTGTACAATACAGTGATTCACAAATTCTTAAGGATGCTCCATTTATAGTTACTGTAATATATTGGCTGTATTCTCTGTATTGTACACTATATCCTCGTAGCTTATTTTACACGTAGCAACTGGTGCCTCTAATCCCCAAGCCCTGTCTTGCTCCTCCTCCTCCCCCTCTCCACAAGTGACGCCGGATTGTTCTCTGTGTCTGTGGGCTTGTTCCTTTTTTGCTATATTCACTAGTTGCTGTACTTTTTAGAATCCACATATAGACGATTCCATACAGTATTTGTCTGTCTGACTTATTTCACTTAGAATAATACCCTCCAAGCCCACCCATGTTGCTACAAATGGCATCATTTCATTCTTTTCTATGGCTGAGGAATATTCCACTGTCTGTGTGTGTATACACCACATCTTCTTCACCCATTCATCTTCTGATGGACTCTTAGGTTGCTTCTCTATCTTGGTTACTGTAAATAATGCTGCTCTGAGCATTTGGACGCATATATCTTTTTAAGAGTATTTTTGTTTCTTTTGGATATATGCAACCAGGAGGGGAACGACTAGATCATGTTAGTTCTATTTGTAGATTTTTCAGAAACCTCAATGCTGCTTTCTGCAGTGGCTGCACTAGCTTACATTCCCACCAACAGTGGACAAGGGCTCCCTTTCATCCACATCCTCACCAGTGATTGTTATTTATGGTCTCTGTGATGATCATTATTCTCACAGGTGTGAGAGGATGTCTCGTTGTGGTTTGATCTGCGTTTCCCTGGTGATTAGTGATGTTGAGCATATTCTCACATGCCTGTTGGCCCATCTGTATGTCTTCTTTGGAAAAATGTCCATTCAAATTTTCTGCCCATTTAAAAAAATTTTTTTTGATGCTGAGTTGTATGAGCTCTTTATCCACTTTGGCTATTAACCCCTTCTTGGTCATAAGATTCACAAATACTTTTTATGTATAATCTAATTTCTAAAAGTCAATATTTTAAACCCCAGCCGTAACAGCTAAATTGGATGTCTCCAATCTCTACTTTTTCTCATGATCACCCAGGACCATTCCAGCATTTATAGTTACTGAGTCTCAGCATTGACAAAAAAAGGAAATTTCCAGAAAAGTGCATAGCCATGAGATGTGTTTACTTTACGTATCACCTTGATTTTGCTGAAATTATGATGCCATTTTACTCATTTTACTACAGAAAAGTTCCCTCCTTCAAATTCCTCACTGGGAGAGAAGCTGTACATATACCTCATTTATATCCTGCAAGCTTCGTCATGAAAGGAAACTTGTCCTGGAAGCAGGCAGGGTCTTTGAGATGAGTCTCATGTAACTTTGGTTACTTCTGATCTCCCCACCACACTTGCAAAGACTTAAGGGTAAGCTTAGAAGAAACACGTTTCCTACAACAAAGCCTGATGTTTAAATGTCTTCATGCACCTGCTCTGCTGCTGTTGTTCAGTCACCCAGTCTTGTCTGACTTTGCGACCCCATGAACTGCAGCACACCGGGTATCCCTGTCCTCACCATCTCCCAGAGTTTGCCCAAGCTCATGTTCATTGCATCAGTGGTGATGCTGTCCAGCCATCTCATCCTCTGACTCCCTCTTCCCCTTCTGCCCTCAATCTTTCCCAGCATCAGGGACTTACCTGCTTTACTTCTTGTTAAGTCATCTTCCAGGTACCAAGACGGGGTCCCATCCAGATAGATGTCAAGGCAATAGACACCAGCAGGCACGTGTGCTCAAGACACACAGGTCAGTGGTGAAATCTCACTTCTATCTCAGAGGGTAAGCTGATTTTTATTTATAAAATGGTTGCCTTGAAGGGTACAAAAGGGTTAAAATCTTTATTCTACTTCTAGGAATTCAAGGTGGAGCAGGTTTTATTTCCCCTGGGTAAAGACTTCCCAGGTGGCTCAGAGGCAAAGAACTCGCCTGCCAAGCAGGAGACGCAGGTTTGATCCCTGGGAAGGGAAGATCCCCTGGAGGAGGAAATGGCAGCCCACTCCAGTATTCTTGCCTGAAGAATCCCATGGACAGAGGAGCCTGGTGGGCTACAGTCCATGGGGTCGCAAAGAGTCAGACGGGACTGAGTGACTAAACCACAAACGAGAAATCTCTAAACACAATCGTGCAACTTCATGACCTAAGAAACACCTGCATTCCACATGCAGAATCTCATGCATCCTCCACTCACCTGCTTGAAGATGCTGGATAAGTTTGCAAATCATTGAAACCACAGTTCACATCACAACTAAGGATCAGGAAACTCCTCCAGTGAAAGTATTAACAAAACTCCTTGTGATGGTACATACATATATGAAACTATGCTATCCACTCAAATCTACTACTTTGGATCTTTTTTAAAATGGCAAATACAGAATTCCCTTTATATTTATAAAGTTCTGTGTGCAAATGCAACTGGAGAAAATTTGCAAGTTAATAAGACCTAATAAAAGCCCTTAATGAAATCACCACTTCATGTCTCAAAAGTAAAATAGCAACTCTTAATATAAACTCTGTTCATAAGAATCTATCAGAAAATTATTGCCCATGGCAAGCAGCAGAACACAGGAATGTGAGTTCAAACAGACCCACAGATCACTTCCGACATACTTGCACTGTGTCTGCGAAGTTATTTGAGACTCGCGTTGAAGGTCCCAGGATGCAAGGACAGGCTTGGAAGGAGAAGGCCCTCATGACAGAGTATGCAGCGACCCCCAGAACTGCCCAAGCTGCTCCCCTCAAGGGCGCTCGGGGACCCCGACTTCCAAGGAATGGAGGTAGGTGGGCACAGCCCGGGGGCCCCCATCCCGGCCTGGAGAGATGATTCCAGACTCTTGAGTATCTGTGGCAAGCCAGCTCTGTGCAGTGATCTGACGACGTGCCTCCTTGGATCTGCTGCTGCTCACAAAGAAGCCCTCTCTACCTCCTGTAAGCGCAGACGGTGAGTTTTCTGAATCGTCCTCCTGGGCGTCTTCCTTCTCAACACATAGGTCAGGACGAAATGAGGTCATTTAATGGGCTTGGGGGCATATTCAGGAAAGAACAAGACGGAGAGTTTGACACATTTCTCACTGCGGACACCCTGCTCCTGGTCACCAGGAGCATCCTCCTGGGTCATCGGGGCTGAGAGCTCAACACTGACCTTGACCTTTGTATACTGGAACTGGAGCAACTGGAAATTTACAAAGCAAGATGATGCTTTAGCTCTTACTCACCAGCATCAGTCTTTGCTGAGGCTCCAGGTTTGACTAGATGAGTAAATGTTCTCCACAGAGGCACAGAGGGTTTTATGAAGCCCTAAATACCCAAGAGCTGATGCCTGTGCGTCAAGCAGGAGAGTCCCCCCAGAGCAATCTCCTGAAAATGCAAACTGTGGTTCCCGTCCTCCAGCTCCTGGGCTTCAGGCTCCCCGCCCATGTGTCCACTCGCCTTCCTGAGGACTCTGGGAAGAAGTGACGTTCACACTCTCTGCATCCAGAAACCCATGTCTAGAAATGCTGAGGAACCATCCTGGGGCCGCTGTTGATGACCTGTGATGATCATAGCCAAGGTTCAGTGCCAAGTTGGTCCTTTCAGGGGCTCTTGGTGACAACACAGAGCTGCCTGTGACCATTTGTGATGCTATTTTTTATTTGCGTGTTCATCTTTTAGAAACAAACCATGCTCAGAATAAAACAGTCCTTTTCTTAGTAGCATTATGCAGTGGCATTTTGTGTCACTTACTATGTGCTGTGCTTAGCCGTGCCCGACTCTCTGCGACCCCAGGGACTGAAGTCCACCAGGCTCCTCTTGTCCACGGGGATTCTCCAGGCAAGGACACTGAAGTGGGCTGTCATGCCCTCCTCCAGGGGCCACTTACTATAACGTAGGGACAGCCTGGTGGTGCTTGAAATGTGAAGTTTACAATGAGAAGAAAGGTCTCCTCTGCCCTGGTCGTCCAGGGGCAGAGGAAGAGTGGCTTTTCAGTCTAGTCACGTGGGTTTGGTTACCAGGACTGCTTACCTGCCTTGGGACAGGATATAACTTTGCATTTCTTACAGAACCCTACAGCTTTCTCATCCGCAACAGGCAGATTCATTTTGGAGGTGCGTCCAGAATGAGGTACCACAGGCCTCCTCGTCACAGTGCCCATGCTGGGTTCCCATCGCTGTCCTCAGCTGCCCTCTGGGGTCTCTGCGGCCAGAGAGAACCGGTCGTCCTTGCTTTCTTCTGCGTTCTCACCCTGGCTGATGGGTGTTTACAGAGGTTCTGAAGTGTAGTTGAGCAGGGAGATGGGCGGTTAGAGTGCTGGAGTGCAGTTAGGCAGTTTAGGCAAAGAAAAGACATGCTAATTTGAACCAAGAAATCCCAGGGACTGTACTTTCCCCTCCAGACACACAAGGTCCCAAAAGTGTGCTTCCTCCTTCTTGCCCGCAGGGTCACAGCCAGGGGAGGAGCAGGCTGGGTCCCCAGGCTGCCCTCCCCACTGAACAGAAAACAGCGCACCTCTGTCATGGGTCCCGGGGACCTAGGTTAAATGTGTGAGTGCTCCGTGGAGGGTGGGGGGAGGGGAGGGGGGGGAGGGGTGAGTGGGGGGGGAGGGGAGGGGGGGAGGGGTGAGTGGGGGGGAGGGGAGGGGTGGGGGGGGAGGGGAGGGGTGAGTGGGGGGGAGGGGAGGGGTGGGGTGGGGTGGAGGGGTGAGTGGGGGGGAGGGGTGGGGTGGGAGGGGAGGGGTGAGTGGGGGGGAGGGGTGGGGTGGGAGGGGAGGGGTGGGGTGGGAGGGGAGGGGTGAGTGGAGGGGAGGGGTGGGGGGAGGGGAGGGGTGAGTGGGGTGGAGGGGAGGGGTGGGGTGGAGGGGTGAGTGGGTGGAGGGGAGGGGTGGGGTGGGAGGGGAGGGGTGAGTGGGGGGGAGGGGTGGTGGGGGGAGGGGACGGGTGAGTGGGGGGGAGGGGAGGGGTGAGTGGAGGGGAGGGGTGGGGGGAGGGGAGGGGTGAGTGGGGTGGAGGGGAGGGGTGGGGTGGAGGGGTGAGTGGGGGGAGGGGAGGGGTGGGGTGGGAGGGGAGGGGTGGGGTGGGAGGGGAGGGGTGAGTGGGGGGGAGGGGAGGGGTGGGGTGGAGGGGAGGGGTGGGGGGAGGGGAGGGGTGAGTGGGGGGGAGGGGAGGGGTGAGTGGAGGGGAGGGGTGGGGGGAGGGGAGGGGTGAGTGGGGTGGAGGGGAGGGGTGGGGTGGAGGGGTGAGTGGGTGGAGGGGAGGGGTGGGGTGGGAGGGGTGGGGTGGTGGGGGGGAGGGGTGGTGGGGGGAGGGGACGGGTGAGTGGGGGGGAGGGGAGGGACCTTAGCAGAGAACCACCAGGGAGCCTCTAGGAGGTTCCTAAAGGGCCTTTGGCAAAAGAGCCAGGGACAGGGAATACTTGACATCAGCTTCCTTCTTTCTAAATGTCACGGCTGTGCTCGAGGGGGTCACTGCAGGACGGGTCACAAGGCAGCGTTTGTGGCTCCTGCGCCGAGACCTAAAACAGCGAGGTCCCACACAAGGGCTCCTGGGTGCCGTCCACCTAGGCGGACGTCGACGGCCGGGGAGGACGAGGCCAGGCCGCCTCGCGCGAGAACACGCCGCCTCATGCGAGAACACGCCGCCTCACGCGAGAACACGCCGCCTCACGCGAGAACACGCCGCCTCACGCGAGAACACCCTGCCAGGCCCCTCCAGACCTCGCGGAGAGGGAGGACGGTGAGGACCCTCAGCGCAGGCCCAGTCCTCGGCGCAGGGACGGGCCGGGACCGGCCAACGGCTGCACCTCTGAGGCGCGGCCGCTGGGCTGATGCCACGTGGGCCACTCGGTTTCGATCACAGTGGGGATATTTACAGAAATGGGCGAGCGCTGAAATCCGGGGTGTGTGCGCGTGTGTGCACGAGGGCAGCGGGGTCCCCGTTGACCTGGCCAGCCCCCAGTGCAGCCGAGGAAGCTGCGGTCCTGCCCGGCGTGGAAGGCCCCGCCCACCACCCCGGGGCTGGCTCTGCCCCAGCCCCGCCGGACTCTGGAGGTGGGGGCTGTGAACGACTGGTTCGCACAATGAAACCTGTTGCCTTGTGCTTTATCGCTCAGCTATTTCAGAAATAAACACCTCAAACCCAAATCATTCTACCCTAGACTGAAACGTCCGTCTTCACGGTGGACAGAGGGGCGGGGGTGGGCCTGTTGGTGGGCCGGGCTCCAGTGCTCGCAGTCCCCAGGGAGGGTCCTGGTTCAGTACTGGTTAAAGCCCAGTGCTCGGACCATTCTTAAAGATGCTGACGTTTTAAAAATGGCAGCATAAAGCATAAATGACTTATCTCTTGGTTATTCCCACAATGCCCTGGCTTCTCATCCTTAAAATAGTTCTGTGCGTCCAGTAATCTCTCCCACACACTCCTGACGATGACCTCGTGGCTGAGCAGGGCTCCCCTGCGTTTCCCTCCCCTTGGGGCTCCCAGGCGGCAGCGGCAGAAGCAGGAGCCTAGCCAGTGGCCACGGGGGCTCTGTCTAGGGAGGCTGAGAATCAGCCCTGCTCTTGCAGGAGCTCCAAATAAACCCTCTCCTTGAAAACCAAGCGGCGCGGTGAGGCAACTTGCCCCGGCTCCCCGAAAGCCAAGAGCGGAACAAAAGGGTGCATTGATTCGAGCCCAGCGCCTGCTGGGTGTGCGAAAAGGCCACCTGGCGGCACCCCAGCCCCTCCCCAGAGCCCCCGGAGCCAGCAAAGTCAATGCTGGGAGATCATCAAGTGCAGTCAGATTCCTGGGGCGTTGTCAAGGGCCGAGTGGGCCACGAGTCCCCAAGTTTCCAGCCCCAGGGCAACACTGAGCCTGTGTTCATCTCCTGGTGCAAAAGCACAGCCGTGGCAGCTCACACCCACTAAGGCTTATTCTCCAGAATGAATAGAAAAGAGGTGCCCAACATGAGCGTGAATGGGCCTTCTGCTGAATTTTGGGTGCTCTTTGCTGTTTTACAAAGTAACTGCCTTCATGACAGTAATCCGGCCCCCACTGCCTTGCAACCAGTCTACTTCACTGTGAAACCTTGGCTTAAAGAGGTTAGAACACTTGTTCAGGTCGCTCCGACGGCAAGTGAGGGTCTCAGATTTCAACCCGGACAGTGGCCTTAAACATAGAGATGAACGCTCTTGCCCAAAATTGCAGCGATGAATTTACCAAGGGAATCATTGTGTGCCTCCAAGTTCTATCATTCATCTGGTGGGTGCCCGCCAGGATCAACAAGGCCAGCTGACTCCTTCGAGAGGCCCAAGTTTCCTCTGAAGAAGCAGGTTATATTTTAGGGAATCTCCTCATGAGAAAAAGCATTTAGAAAAAGAAACCAGACTCCAAGTAAAATTGGAAATGAAATACTGGGGCATAAAGCACTGCATGACAGAGTTAATCCCCCTACGGCACTTAGAGCTCCTAAAATGTGATTAGAAACAAGACAAATGGCTCCGAGCATAACGGACATTCTTTGTCCTTTGTTTGACCAGTAGGCGGCCAGAAGAGTGGGTCCCAGGAGCCAGGATGGCAAGAGCTGGGGAGTGTCTCTCCATAACTGGAAGACTGATGAGCTGTGAGGAATCCCATGCAGCTACATTCACGGTTCCAGTGACGGCAGACTCACACAGAGACGGGGACCCTGTGTGCCTGCTGATGGTGACCCTTCTGTAACAAACAGACCGGAAGGCCATGGGAGCTGCCGTCAGGGGCTGTCAGCTCCACAGTAAACCACGCTTGAACATCTCCAGAGTTTGCAGGAATTCTCCTTTTTGGTGGGTGTGTGCATGCTAAGTCACTCAGTTAGACTGACTCTTTGTGGCCCCATGGACTGTATGCAGCCTGCCAGGCTCCTCCGACCATGGAATTTTCCAAGCAAGAATACTGGAGAGGAGTGCCATTTCCTACTCCATGGGATCTTCCCGACCCAAGGGTCGAACCCGTGTCTCTTGTGTCTCTTGCATTGGCAGGCAGTTCTTTAGTGCTCTGCCACCTGAGAAGCCCAAACAGCAGATCATTTTGTTTTTTCGGTCATGCCTTGCAGCACGTAGGCTCTTAATTCCCTGGCCAGGGATCGAATCCTTGCCCCTTGCATTGGAAGCCTGAAGTCCTAACCGCTGGACTTTAGTGTGTGATTCTGTAGTATTTCATCACATGGACGGATTCATGTCAGCACGGCCCTAATCAAGATGCTCATAACAAAGCGCACAGCTCATCTTTTGGGGGGTTGTGTCCATGTTTCCCAACTAGGGAGACATCAAGGAAAACAAACCTCAGAGTGAAGCACGGATCTGACCCCCGTGGAACCAGAAGGGGCTGGAGCCCGTTTCTGAGCAACAGCGAGTGGGTGGCAAGGAGGCAGGAGGGAGAAAAAGGAGGCACGGACCTTCTTTCACCTCATTGTTTACCTGAAATCAGCACCTTTCCTTACTTAAAGATACTGAAACCCAGGAACTATATTCAATACCTTGGAACAACCTATAATGGAAAATAGTCAAAAATACATATATATTTATATAGATATATATGTATAGCTAAATCACTTTCTTGTACACCTGAAAAATGACATTACAAACCAGCTACACTTCGATTTAAAAAAAAAAATGGAAACCCAACAAATAAACAAGAAGTCAAACGCAGAGCAATTATTGAAAGGAATGAAAATTTCCACATGGGATCACAAGGCCGAAGGTGGAGGGGTCATGGGAACTGCCCAGAGCCTCGGGAACCTACCACGTGGGGCTTCTCCCACACTGGGCATCTCAGCAGAAAGTCTCTGGGGCCCTGAATTCAGAATTCCAGAGTGTTCCAGGAAGGCATCTGTACTGCAGAGAGAAACAGGAAGAGGAAGCTGCCTTCTCGGGGGGCTACTCTGAAGACAGGGCCATCCCATCCCGTCCCACGAGCCCGCCGCCTCGGGGCCCCCAGGCCGACAGAGTCCAGGACACCAGCTCATGCTGTGTCCGCAGAGTCTGTGCACTGGTCTGCAGGAGCAGGCTCTTTCCCTTTGTTCTGATCCAGCTGTTTGTCTTCCAGTTGGGTCTGTAGGGGCCTATTCCTCTGTTGAGGCAGAGGTGATGATTTAACCAAAAATCCTGCCAGCTCCTCCCTCAGCTCTCAAATTTCCTTCCCAAAACCTGCTGACGCCTCTGGAGGACCCCAAGCAGGTGCTCACCTGAGACAGAGGATCCCGGTGTGGCTACAGGGGTTACCACACCCACACACAGGAGCCCATAATTGTAGCGTCTTGAACTGAACTGAACTGAGCATTAACTAGGTATGTGAGAAATTACTTCATTTTTCAGTGAGACAAGATCGATACAGTGACTTATCCAAGTTAATTAATCACTGGCAGAAAAAGACTGAAATGACCTCCCCCACAATTTATCTTCCTCTGCAGTTTCCTTCTGTATGTGGACTCTGGGATAACTACAGTGCTTATGTGAAAAACTCATAGAGAAGAAAAATATATTTAAGAGACCAAGTGTTTGCAGGGCAACAGAATGAAAGCAGTTTTGAAAGTAATAAAGAATTTTATTTAAAAGTTGTAATTATTTATTAAAATTCATATTAATAGCATTTCTAGAGTAGTTCTTAATATCTGAAACTCATTTTATTTCAATGAACGATATTTCTATTGTGCATAGGATGTGCAATAGGATTGTGCAAATGATGGTTCCTAATATTACCATCAGTAGTTGGTCTCTTTGGTTCTCCTCTACACCTCACTTTTAAATCCTATTTCTTGCCAGCCAGCTCTCTGCCTCCAAACAAAGCAGGGTGCTTCCCTGTCCACCCCCCAACCCGGCCCCTGGGGCTCCTACATGCGAGGAAGAGTGCACTTGCCCTGAGACCCCCGGGAGCAGAGCAGGGCCGGGTCCCAGATCACACCTGCCATGGCCCCAGCCCAGGCCTGCAGGGACCATGGAGAAGGCCCGTGGACAGAGTTCCTACAAGGCATGCAAATCTAGTCTGCTGACTCAGGGCTCATTTTAGTTGCATCTGAGCCAGGCTGAGCTCAGAAAGACAGGCTCAGAGAGAGAGCCAGGCCTCTTCGGACAGTCTGAGCATCCAGTGTGCAGACGACAGTGTGTGAAACCTGAGAACGGCGTCAACTGCAGCCACTCGCTACACGCCGCCCACCAGTGGCCTTGCCCACTTTTCCCATTAAAGTGTGTCTCAGCCCACCATATAATTCTGTGCATTCACCTAGAGCACAGAAGTCTCAAGAAATGAAGAAAAAGCAAAATAAAGAAAATGCATGCGAAGATCTTTTGAGTAAAAGACTGTTAATAAACATTAAATGGTTAAAACGTCTATGTAATCTCTCATTCTTTTGAACTAAACTTTTCCTTAATACAATGATAAGGAATTCTATTAGGTGAAACTGATGGTGACTAGTGAAGGACAGACAGGAAATGCTCCCCAACTGTGAAGCCAACTTCATGCTCCTTCTTTGCACCTCCAGGAGGTTTCAGTATGACTTTAATTAATGAAAACACATAACATTAATATTAGTAGGTATTACTTATCAGTGCCAATGATTGACAGTCATTCCATCTTTCCCTTCCTTTATGGAACAGTTATAAAGGAACATTTCTGAAACCAGAGGACAGAAGGGGTTAATGTTACTGTAAAATTGCTTTATATATATATATATATATACATACCATATCTATATTTTATATATATATATATATATATATATATACCATTTCCACCCTCTGGGTGCAAAGATTTTCATTCTTCTAAAAATGTAAAAAGAAAATCCCCTTTCCTTCCCTCATGTCTACTCTTGCGCTGCAAG